ATGCATGCATACATACATAAAGACATACATGCATACATACATACACATGTATATGTGTTTATGAGAGAGCGTGATCCACCGCCGCTTTACTGAGGAAAATTCCCCCCCCCTCTTCCTCCGGAAACCGGGGGTCCCCGCCCCTCCGAAAATCCCCCCCCCTGCTGGAACCCTCCCCCCCCTTTCCCCCAGCAAAACCCACCCCCTCCCCTAACCCCCCCCCTCCCCTCCAGAAAACCGCGGGGTCACTACCGGTTCGACCCCCCCCCCTTGGAAAACCGGGGGGGTCACTACCGGTTCGAACACCCCCCCCCCAGAAAACCAGAGGAAAGTCACTACTCGTTCGAACCCCCCCACCCCCCTCCAGAAAACTGGGTGGGGTCACTACCGGTTCGAACCCCTCCCCCCCATCGAAAACCGAGGGGGGGTCACTACCGGTTCGAACCCCCCCCCTCGAAAACCGGGGGGGTCACTACTGGTTCGAACCCTCCCTCCTCCCCCCTCCTCCACGAAAACCAGGGGGGGTCACTACCGGTTCGAACCCCTTCCCCCCCCCCCTCACCGCCAGCAAACGACTCCGGGTCCCTACCACCGTCCGCACCACATCCCCCACTGCTGTTCCCAGCACCACTGTCCTCACCACCACTGTCCCCACTGGTTCCACCACCGTCCCTACTGTCCCCACCAGTGCCCCCACCAATGTCGCACTGTCCCCACTGTCCCCACCACTGTTCCCACTACGGTTCCACTCTCCCCACTTTCTCCACGGCCCCAACCACTGCCCGACTATTCCCACTGTCCCCACTGTCCCACTGTCTCCTCCGCTGTCCCACTGAGCTGTCCCACTGTTCCCACCACTATCCCCACTGTCCCCACCACTGTCCCCACTGTACCTCTGCCCCATTGTCCCACCGCCGCCCTGGCCACCGCCCTCACCACTGTCCCCACCACCACTGTACCCTCCACTGTCCCACTGTTTCCACCACATTCCCACTGTCCCCACACCACTGTCCCCACCACCACCGTCCCCACCACTGTCCCACTGTCCCCACTGTTCCCACCATTGTCCCCGCTGTCCCCACCAGTGCCCCCACCAGTGTGTTCCCCACCGTGCTACTGTCCCACCACTGTCCTCACCACCGCCTTGTCCCCACCACTACCGTCCCCACCACTGTCCCACTGTCCCCACCACTGTCCCGCTGTCCCCTCACCACTGTCCCCACCACCACCGTCCCCACCACTGTCCGCACCCCCCCCCGGTTTTCGAGGGGGGGGGGTTCGAACCGGTAGTGACCCCCCCCGGTTTTCGAGGGGAGGGGGGGGGGAAGGGGTTCGAACCGGTAGTGACCCCCCCTTTTCCATGATGGACTGGGAGGGGGGGGTTGGAACCAGCAGTGACCCCCCCCCCCGGTTTTCTGGAGAGGGGGGGGGGGTCGAACCGGTAGTGACCCCCCCCGGTTTTCCGCCAGCAGCGGTAGAACACGCTCTTTCGTATGTATATATATATATATACACAGATGTGTGTATGTATATGTGTATACATCTTATCGGGCCCTGCGTCGTCATCATCTCCCGTACACACCCACCATTTCTGACGAAGGGGAGGCGGAAAAGGGAAGGGAGCGGAGCGCGGAGGACCGGAGACACAGAAGAGAGAGAGGAGGGGGAGAGCACGATGACACAGTGTGTAGGAGAACAGGCTGGTGTTCGAGGAGAGTGCGCAGGAGGTGTCAAAATGAGTAATGGCGTGACGATGATGTGCAGGATAATGAAGAGAGAAGGACGTGATGGAAGAGGGGGAGCGGACGAGCGCGAGGAGAGGACAAGAGGACGCGATGGCAGAAGGTGCGAGGAGGAGGGCGGGGGAGGAGAACTAGAGGGGAGTACATCAGGACAGCGCTGCAGAGCCGCTGAAGTCAGAGGCTCGGCGGGCTTCCACAGCGCTGAGCGCCGAAGGGTGGAGGCCGCCGCAGAGAAGGCGGCCAGCCACCTGATGACCTGGCGGCTGGGCTCAGCGCGAGGCGCCGAAGGGAGCCCAGCCGCCACACAACAGGCCGACCGCCCACAAAGAGGCCGAGGCCTGGCTGCGGGCCGAGCTGGCTGAGCTGGCACGGGCGCGCTCGGCGCCTGCCGAGGGCCCAGATGGGCCCTCATCTTTTTGTTTTACTGAAACCCGGCCCCTCCCTCCCTTCTCTATGATTTACTGGTCCCAGGCTCCCCTTTCCCTCGGGGCCGGGTTCCCGGGGCCGCAGTCTGAGCGCCCGCACGGCCCTGGTGGGCCGCTGCAGAGCGCTCCGCGCCCGCGGGGCGCGCGACAAGACGCTGCATAGCGAGAAATGCAGAAATGCAGAGGGGAGTACGAGGAGGAAGCGGACGAGAAGGATGCAGAGGACGAGGCGGTGGAGGAGGACGGGAGGAAGACCCATCCCCCCGACGTCGTGATGTTCGTCAGAATGGTACCTTTAAAAACACGTCGGCCGTCGGTTAATCTTAACACCGAAAGGTTCCCATATAGGCAGCCCAACTACAAACTGCCCATACGCTGCCGTCTGCAACAACAAAAAAATACCAGAAATGCTCCACCAACTCGCTCCACGAGTGGGAGGGCGAGGATGAGACCGAGGAGGAGAGGAGAATCTCAAGCTGGGAAGAGTTTGAGGTGGAGCAAACGGTGCCGCTCTCTGGCACCGCACCGAAGCCCTGTCGGCGGCGCCTCTAAGCGCCCTGGGGCGGAGTTAACCAACACTGCCATCACCAGAAAAACACAAACTACGGCAAACTTGGTTTAGTGATTCTGATCCGGCCCCACCCCAGGGGCAGCGCCGGCATCGTGCCGGCATGCGACACCGCCCCAGGGGCAGAGCCGCTAACCGGATCTGCCGTTGCCGAGCTCACAAAGGTATTTCGCCTCGCTTCGCAATGCAACAATTGTGGACGACCGACAGTCGCAAAATTTAACCAGGTTAGGTCTTTAGACAAGTTGGAAAAGTATTCATCTTTTCGGCGACCTTCTTGACAGACTGGGATCCCACCAAGTGTGGAAAAGAACTATTTCTCCGCGGCGGTCGCCGCACAACAACGACGACGACGAAGACGACGACGACGACTACGACTACGATTATGACCACCACCACGTTACGACTACGGCTACGGCTCTTCCTCCTCCTCCTCCTTAGGAATGAGACGAGGAGGAGCAGGAGGAGGACGAGGAAGAGGAGGACAAGTAGAACGCAGTATCCCTGGCGGACGGTGTCTTGCCTCTCGTGCGCGCTCGCAGCATGCGGGTTGTCTTGGCATCCAGCCTGGACTTGAGCAGCCTGCAGGCGGGCGCGAAGCTCTTCCTCGCGCGGTTCACGCCTTCCAGAGACGCGCGCCCAGCGGCTTTCGCCGCGCTGCGAAACGCCTGGCTGCCGTCTGGCGCAACCGTGGCTCCTCCTCCCAGCGCCTTCGTTCCAACGGGCCCTCTACTTCGGCTCCAACCCCTGGGCCCCCGCCGCCTCTGCCTTTCTTCGTCCCCCTGTCCTGGGAGCGCGTGCGCGGCCCAGCTCTTCTTGCGCCCCCCCCTCGAAGACTCTCTCCCCAGAGCCAGCTCTTCCGCCCGAGTAGTTCTGCTGACGCTCCCGGGCCCGGCGAGGGCCCCCAGGGGCCGGCAACGGCCAAAAGCCTTCCGTCGCGATGGCTTCACGACGCGGGCATTCGGCGGTGGAGAAGCCTCCCATTAGTAAACCTCCATTTAGCGAAAACGGCCTGGGACAGAAACCGAAGGACCTGGACCCGCAGAAAAGACGGCCTCGACGCCCTCTCGCGAACCGAAAACGGCCAATTCGCTAATCGACGTGTCAGGGTAGGAGGTCTACCAACCTCCGAGGCATGCATGTGATCGCTGACGCGCAGCTGTCGCCTGCTGCCGCCGCTGCCGAGCCGCCGCCGCCGGCCCGCGGCCGACGCAGCTGTCCGCCGCCGCCGCCGCGCCGTCGGCCGGCCGCCGCCGCCGACGCCGCCGCGCCGCCGCTGGGACGTCGGCCCCCGCCAGGGCCGGCCGGCTGGCTGGCCAGGCGCCCCGCCCGGCTTCCGCTTCGCCGCCTCGCCGGCGCCAGTGCTGGTGGCCTCCTCGGGCGCCGACGACGGCTGGGGGCGCGGCACGACGGACAGCGGACGGCGGAGAACACGCCGAGGACGGCGACGGCGACGACGACGACGACGGCGGGGGCGGCGACTGCGAACGGAAGAGGCGGAGGAGGAGCAGCAGCAGCAGCAGCAGCAGCAGCAGCAGCAGCAGCAGAGAGAGAGGGAAAGGAGGGAGAGTGGAGGTGGAGGATGGGGTGGGGGACTTTGGGCTTAGGACTTGGGACCAGGCAGCGTGTCCATGACGTCGACTGCACCGCGCAGTCACAACAGCTGATACAACCAGATCGGCCCATACCGAGGACGTCTAGGAGAGGAAGCACGCGGGGGACATGTGGCACTCGCAGCGGCCAGGGGTGCCACTGCGGGCAGACGCCGTGAAGCGGCGGGAGGGGAGGGAGGGGGCAGCGGCGAGCGTAAGAGTCAGAGGAGGCGAAGGAGCCGCAGCAGGGAGGGGGGGGGCCGTGGGGGAGAGGGTGCGGTGGAGGAGTCGCCACACACCGTTGTTTGGCCGCGCGCACAAAAGGGGTTAGGGGGAGGGGGGAACGCTTTTTAGAAGGAGGTTGTTCCTTAGAAGGCGCTGGCTTTACATCTGCAGAAAGGGTCCGCGCCTTCTAAAAAGCAGGGGTGTTTCTGAGAAGCCTTCCCCTCGCCCCCATACCCCCCTCTGCGCGTGGCTGGGTTGTGCCAAACTCGCTCGCCCCTCAGACCTTACACCGCAGGCACAGAACGCGTGCGGGCAAAATTTGTCTTCCAGCCCGAGCGCAAAAATTCCGCAGCCCCTCAGGCCCGCAGGAGGGTTATCCCGATCGTGCGGTCAAGACCCAACCACACACGTGCACGGCATGCCTGAGAGGAAGAGAAAAAATAGTTAATAC